GCTGGGGATATAACTAAATATTCGTATAGTTGCATTATTTACAACCCTAGTTACTAAGTCCCATGACCCCAAACCCCTGAACCGCCCGAAACCCTAAACCCTAAACCCCTAAACCCCTAAACCCTAAACCAAACGCTAAAAGATCCCCATCAACTCAAAGACCTCGAACACCGGAGCTTCTGAGCCACAAGACATCGAGATTTTTTTCCGAGGGCTCGGGGGGATTGGGTGTTTTAGGGGTTTGAAAGGTTGCAGGCTTTTTAGGTGTGTTTAGGGGGTTTTAGGTGTTTTTAGGGTTTTTAGGAGTTTGAGGGTTTAGGGGTTTTGTATTTAGGGTTTAGGGGTTGGGGTTTAGGGGTTTTAGGAACATGGGTTTGGAGGTTTAGGGTTTATGGGAACGGTTGTGAGAAGGCTACCCAGAGAGCCCAATACCCCTTCAGTTACCAGTGTACCTCAACTTACAGACGCCTTCATGCAATAATGTCCGGTATCAAATTTCTGCGTTACTGGGCTCGCTGGCTATGAACCCATACCCATCACAATACAAGCATGACGCCAGCCCTATAACCCTGTAAACATATGGGTGGTTGTCAAAATTAGGGTCCCTTTTGGGTCCTTATTATAATACGGCACCTATTCTTAGGGTACCCCAAAAGGGACCATAATTTTAACAACTACCCATATAGCCATATCATATAGCGTATCACGCCTCAAACAGCAGATCGGCTTCCGAGTGTCTCAGGCCTCGAGGATTTTATACGCATCCGCTGCCCTACAAAGGCCCAGCGTTTTGAGGGTTTGGGGTTTAGGACGTGGGGTTTTGGTTTTAGGGTTTTGGGTCCAGGATTTGGGGTTTTGGTTTTAGGGTTTTGGGTTTAGGGCTTAGGGATTCGGGCTTGGGGTTCCTTCAAGGGTTCCTTGGGGGCTTCGGGTTCTATAAGGGGGCTCCCTTTAAGGGTTTAAGGTTTAGGGGTTCCTTTGAAGGTTCCTTTGAAGGGTTCTATGAGGGGCCTCCCTCTAAGGGTACTGTAATGCTCTACTGTTCCCTGAAGGGTTTCTGAAAGGGGTCTATAAGGGTTGAGCGTTTGGGTTTTAGGGTGTAGGGTTGAGGGTTGAGTCGTTGAGGGTTTGGGACGGTACCTGAAACTTAGCAACTAGGGTTTAGGGCTTCTTGCTTTAGGCTGCTATAGGCTTAGGGTCCGAGGGTTCCTGTAAGGGTTTAGGGCCTAGGCGGCTTTGGGTCTACGGTTTTTGGTTTAGGGTCTAGACCCTAAACCCTAAACCCTAGACTCCTAAACCCCAAAGTTTAGGGTCTAGGGTTTAGCGTTAGAGTCTAGGCTTTAGGGTCTAGGGTGCAGGGTCTGCTAGGACGTTCATGGGACTTGGAACTTCAAGGGTCCTTTCTTCAATGGATCTATAAGGATTTTGTACCGGGTTTCTATCAGGCTACTACCAGGGTTCTATGAGCCTATAAGGGCACTATAAGGGCTTATCATGAACCTTTAAGTAGAGCTGTTGGAGTTTGGCGGTTTCTGGTTCTTTTGGTTGAAGTTGGGGGTTTCTTGGGTGGTCATCTGTGCGTGTTTTATTAAGGTGTAGGGGTTCCGATAGGGTTCCTTTAAAGGAACTATAAGGCGTCCTTTAAGGGTTTAGGGTTTAGGGTTGAGGTGTTTTGGTGTTGTTTCTGGTGCTAACGGTTTTCAGGGTTTTGGAGTTCAGGTGCTCGGGGGCTTACCCATAGGCCCCATAGTAATTCCTTTTTTGGGATTCCCTAATAGGATTCTACATATGGGTAGTTTTCAAAATGAGGGTCCCTTCTAGGGTCCTTTTTATAAGGGTGCCGCCGTACTATATGGGGGACCCAAACAGGGCCTCTAATTTAGAGAACTACCCATATGAACCCCAAGAAGAAACTACTATGGCAATGGGGCCTACTTGGAGGGTCGGGAGACTTAGTAAGTAGGGAATAAGTAGACTTACAAGTACCCTAAAAGGGACCCTAATTGGGGTTATAGTACTTATAAGTCTATAAAATAACCAGTTAGTAAGTCCCCCGACCCTCCAAGTATGGGTAAGCTGGAGATGAGGAAGTTGGATTTGGGGGACCGGGCTACAGGTCTAAGCTTCGGATGGCAGCTTTGCGCTTATTGCTTGGTGGGTTTAGGGTTCTGGGTGTAGGGTTTAGGGTTTTCGGGTTTTAAGGGGTCGTGATTTCAGGCAGGTTTTTCGATAGGAGGGGGGAGAGGGGGGGTCTTGGAATTTGGAGTTCTTTGTTTAGGGATCCTTGTAACCAGGATCCTACTACCTACCTACGGCTCATATGTGGGTCGCAGGACTGCCTGCAGCTTACACATTGCGGCTGAGCTAGAAAACGACTCAGCCACAAAAGATGAGAGCCCTTGCACCAAGAGCCATCATCTATGATGAGTGTCGGGGTAGGGTTCAGGGATTGTTGCCTTATGTCACCAAACGATATGCGCCTAGGCCCTCAGACTTTCCAAGAAAGCCGAGCCGGCATCTGATGCCAGGTCCACGGCCAGACTGGCTGCAGGCGGGAATTGTCTGGCGAGCCCTCAACCATAGCTTGAGGGTCTTTGTTTTCAAGACCCCTCAACCCTAAGCCTTGAACCCTAAACTCGAAACCCGTGAGCAGCCATAGACCTGGACAGTTTTCCTTGACATGGCAGGCACCGCGGGCGCCAAGCGACTGGGTGTAGAGCCCTGCCGGGAGCTCATCAAAGCAAGGAGAACAGAGTTTACGAGCTCTCATCCGGTTGGCAGCCGCCGACCAAAGCTTCAAGCGACCGTCCTCATGCTCACACCCTAAACCCTAAACCCTAAGCCTTCCCAAAGACCGGACCGCCAGCTCGAATCGCCATCTGTACAGTTGCTCGGAACACACAAAATCCTGATCTCCAGAAGCTCACTGCTGTCAATTGGGTACCCAGATTGTCGTGTTCTGAAAACGACTCATCATATCTAAAACGATACTGCTTCTGTGCATTGCCGTGTTGTACGGCTGCGACCTTTCCGCATGTTTCTGCACGTAAACTGCTACTGCTGCTACCAGCACCATCTCCGCTGCTACAAGGATTCTGACACATTCTAAGAAGAGAACTACGACAACGACCAAAGCGAATCCTCCTCCCGCTCTTGCTATCGATAGTTTGGTTACTACTACTACTACTACTACTACTACTACTACTACTACTAAGGCTGTCGCCACATGACAAAGGACTTCTGAGCATGCCCGATCGTTTTAGTGGCATGCCTTCCAGAGGCCTTTCTGTAAGTGAGCTCTCCGAGAGGTTTCTTGAGAACTACGCGCGCTTTCTTGCAGCTAAAAAGGTGTGCCTGCTGGGGTGTCATCCCCTGCAACGGTTTTGCTTTGGATTCAGGCTTTCTTCGAGGGCTTCTGATAGTACAACCTTCCCAACTGCAGCAGTCACCCAAAGGCTTCAAAGCAAGATCCTGTCCTTGAATGTGACTTCTGCTTCTGTTCAGAACTGGCACTTCCTGCATGCGAGATGAGGTTTGCGTATCTAAATCGCAGCTTAACTCCACCCAAGGTATTTGCTAAGCTCCAGCGCAACCCGTTCAAGCATCGCCGCCACGTGGCTGGAGACCGTCTCTGTTCAATCCACGCACCACGTGGAATGTCAGCCTCTTGTCTGCCCCAGATCCTCACGTGGCGGATGTTTCCGGAATCTCTACTGCTTCGAACCGTTCCAGAGAGCGAAAGTTCAATTCTTTAGGAAGTTAACCGTCTCTAGCATGCAGGCAATGGTTTATGTTATGTCATACTATATTATCTTACCTTATGCTACATGACTACATAATAGTTTGTTCTATTTCATTATACTTGAAAAGGAAATACTGCATCCAAAACGGACCTGTAACCTCAGCACGAACCGAAGGACTAAGCAATGCATTCGACGAGATCCACTGCTTCGATGTCAGCGACTGTAATGCAGGGCTGGAATCATCAGGAATATGATCTCTTTATGCTCCATATATAGCTATAGTATACGTATACATATACATATACATATACATATACATATACATATACATATACATATACATATACATATACATATACAGATATATATATATATACATACATACATACATACATACATACATACATACATACATACATAGTTTGATACCTTTGGTATGATTATCTATTGAGTTATAGTCCCTGTATAGTAACAGTTTTCACAGCTATATACACACACATACATACATACATACATACATACATACATACATACATACATACATACATCGATAGATAGATAGATAGTTGGCGGAAGCTTATCTGCTTAGTTCTAGTCCCTATATAGTTACAGTGTTATCGTTATAGACGCTTCGCGTCGTGTGCCTCGGGATGTTGCGGCTGCAGGGGGGGGGGGGGCCAATACGACGACGAATGTGGCGCGGGGGTTTAGGGTTTAGGGTTTAGGGGTCGGGTGGCGGTGGCGGGGGCTGGTGGCCCCCTTAAGCAGGGGGTGGGTCATTGGGGAGGAGAGTCAGAGGAGGGGAAAGAGGTTCCAAGCGAGGAAAACGGGCAGCTCTGACCGCTTCGCCCGAGGCGAAGTATGAAGGCCCCTCTATTAATATGGGGATTTCCGAAAATAGAGGACCCTAGTATAGGATCCTTACTATAAGGCCCCCAAATTAAGGTACCCCAATTTTCGGAAAGTCCCACATAGGGGAGGGGCCTTAATAATTAGAATAGGGTTTGGGGCTCTAAACCTTCAGAATAGTATGGGTAATAGGGTTTAGGGTTTAGGGTTTAGGCTCCTAGAATAGGTTCGCCCGTGCTTTTCCGAATCTCCCCAAGCCGAGGCTAGCGCACACCCTCGCACGTCCTAACTATGCCTGGCCACCGAGGACAGTCTAATGGAGGGGCCTACATAATTACCTGTACTATTTTTGGGGTGGGTTCCGTATTATAACTGTGGTATAAAGGGTTTTTGGTGGTCCTTCTTATAATTAGAATATAATATACCCCCAAACCCTATTCTAATTATTAAGGCCCCTGTATTAGGGTTCGGCACTTAGGGATTTAGGGGTTTAGGGTTACAGTGCAGAGAAAAGACGGGTAGAATGCACTTCACCTTTGGATGCTGGCTACACTCGGAGGCCTCAAAAGGTGGGATGAAGGTAGGTGGGATATTCTCAAACAAGAGTCCGGTTTAGGGTTTAGGGTTTACATAAGGGATCCGTAATCCTCCCCACCATCATCCCACCTTGGAGGCCAGCGATACACTCGCATGCATGTAACCTTCGGGTTCCAGGCGCACTCACATCATCAATACCAGTGGTTCTGTACAACCCAACCCCAAAACCCTAAACGGAACAAAACATAGCAGTCAGAACATCGACCATCACGACTGCGAGTTTCCAGAGGTTCTAGGCTGGGCTCCTGTGAAGGAATATAGTTTAAGTTGCCGTAGTACGGAAACCTTGTTATTTGCTATAGATCCCCATTATGGCAAAGCTGAATTCCTTAACAAGGACAAAGTAGAGTGAGGAACATCCAGTACAGAAAGGAACTGAACTATGGTTCTTGCTCCCACCAGATTCGAAGCCCTGTTTCCCAAGAAGGTTCCTGAAGCTTATATAACGATCGAAACGCCCCTGAACCCTAAACCCCATGTAACTTCGATTATCATCTTCCCTCAAAGCCCATACTCCAACGATTGAGGTTCCCCCTATTCGGTTCCCAGGGACTCCAATACCCCTTAATTAAGGGATATACCTTAATTTTTTTCTAGGATCCCTAATATGATTGAAGGTATATTCCTTACCCTAAACGCTATAGATTCCTATAGATGCCTTAAAGGAACCCCTTAAGGAACCCTAAGGTATATTCCTTAATTAAGGGGTATTGGAGTCTCTGGGTTTCTAGGCCCCGGATCCGAAGGAGTGCAGCTTCTGGCACTCTTTTGCTTCCTACATGCCGTGGATGCGCTGAACATCACTAGGCATGTCCGAAACTTAGGGTACCTTATTTTGGTGCCCTTTGAATAAGGATCCTACTGTTAAGGGTACTATATGAGGGAGGCATGGCAGTCATTATTGGAGGGCTGTTTTAAGGTTTTGGGGGTCACTAAGAGTGCGACACGTCGAGCACACTCCTCCGAAACTATCCACGAAAGGTCTAAGATGATGGCTAGTGAACACCACTTCTTTTGCAAGCCCGGAGCCTTGGTATCCGATCAGTCTAGCTTGCAGTAATCGCTTTCAATGTCAGTCCTCGAAACGGGTTCCTGTTTGGGTGACTCTTTGCCAGCCAGGGATACAACTTCGTAGAGTCTGCATTCCTTGCTATAGTCTCATGTGCCAACGATAGACGATAGGAAGATTTTCGCCCATCTCCTCTGTGCAGCAATTCCGCGGAACCTCTAACCCTAAACCCTGAAACCCTGAACCCTACGTCTTTCTACGATCTTCTAACAAACAAGATGAAGCCCGCTGCCGGAACCCCACCTCTTGAGTCATCAAACCTTCTACCCCCAAACCGACCCACGTGCTAGAGCCGAACGAGAGATAAGACTTTTGCTGAGCGGGTGAGCAATTGAGTTATCAGTGCAACCGGTCTACTGCTATAAAAGCCAAAATCCCAAGTTTAGTTCGAGCAAGCTGGTCCCCGCGTATTTCCACACTGAAACCTAAAAACCACCATAAAACCAACAACCGCTGGACTCTAAAAACTAACAGCTACACCCCCAAACCCTGAAACCCTTGACTTAAAAGACCCTTAACCCTAATCCCTCAACCACTGAACCTGAAGCCCCGAAGCCTAAACCCTAAACCTATACACCACTAAACCTTAAGCCTAAAGATCCCTTATCGAACCTCTTGTGAGGAGCCCTCTAAGCCCATGGAAACCCTAAACCTTAACCCCTATAGATCCCTTATAGAACCCCCTTTAGGGGAACCCTAAACCCTAAACCTTCAACCCCCATTGATCCCTTATAGAACCCCCTTTGTGCGAACCTTAAACCCTAAACCTTAAACCCCCATTGATCCTTTATAGAACCCCTTTGGAGGAACCCTAAACCCTAAACCTTAAACCCTTATAGAACCCCTTGGAGGAACCCTAAACCCTAAACCTTCAACCCCCGTTGATCCCTTATAGAACCCTTTAGAGGAAGAGGAACCCTATATGTACCCTAAACCTTAAACCCTAAACCATATAGAAGCCCCTTTAGAGGAACCCCAAACCCTAAACCTGAAACCCCTAGTGATCGCCTATAGAACCCCCTTAGGGGAAGCCTAAACCCTCAACCCTAAACCAAAAACCCCTATCGATCCCTTATAGAAGCCCCTGTAGAGGAACCCGAAAGGTACCCTAAACCTTAAACCCTAAACCATATAGAAACCCTGTGGCGGAACCCTAAACCTCGAGCCCCTGTGAAACTCTTCGGACTCCTCGCAGGCGAGTGCGCTGGGGCAATGCAAAGGCCCTCGTCGCTTGCTTCGGCCGCATGGCCAAAGCAAGGAACCCTTGGGCTTAGGGTTTAGGGTTTAGGGTTCCGGATCTATAGGGGGTTAAGGTTTAGGCTTTAGGGGTTTAGGATTCCTCTAAAAGGGTTCTGTAAGGGATCTATAGGGGTTAAGGGAGGTTTAGGGTTCCTCTAGATAAGTTCTATAAGGGATCTATACAGGTTAAGGTTTAGGGTTTCGGGGTTTATGGTTTAAG